CCCCGACGTCATGATTTTCTCATGACGCCGCCCCCGGAGGTTTCGACCCATTCCCCGGGACCGGTTTTTCATCCTGAGTTGTTTTTTGACGGCCCCGAGGCCCAGGAGGGGCCCCCAGAGGCCGAAAGTGCCGAAAACCCTCCCATCATGTTTTTTTCTTACTCGAGGGGAGTCGTGCTTCCTCCCTCGGACCTGCCCTGCCTCCCAAAGCTCGGAGGGGTCCTAGACAGCCACCTCCTGGCCGGCTTGCTTAAGCGGAGGGGGAGTCGGGCGGCGCCGCGGACCGGCCGCCGCCACGCGGCTCAGGTCCTCCTCCGAGTGCCAGTCGAACACCTCCCCGCCCCGGACTCCGGGCACGGACTGGTCGGTTCCCAGACCCCTCGCGTTGCAAAACAACCACGACGGGAAGTTTTTCGCCGTCTTCGGTCACTGGGGGCCCTTCCCGGCCCTCGGGACCGTCAAAAAGCGACGCAGGATGAAAAGCCAGTCCTGGGGAAGGGGTTCGGACCTCGAGGGGTTGACGTAATGAAAAAATCATGACGTCGGAGGTATGGATTGGCCGCACGCCACAAAAATCCCACCAGATCCCATCGCGCAGCCCCGAAAATGATCCCACCGAGAATCCCACCTGTGACCCCAAGGGATCCCACTAAGTAGATCCCGCTAGGCCCCCGCTCAACACATCCCACGGCGTCCCATTTGAACACCCAGGACATCCCACTGAATCACATTAAACCATCAATCAAAACTCTTTGGGTCGAACAGAACCTCCCCGGTTTGCTTCGTTCGTCTTCAGAACGTCCTGGGCATTTTTTGCTACCGTTTTGCACTTTGGGCTCTTGACAGGCTGAATACGTAAACAACAAGAAACACACCACGTCCGTTTGGCGTGATGTTCTGCGTGGTTTAGCGTTTTCAGGCCCGTCGCTGTGGATAAGTGTTTTAAAATTATTGCTCTTCATTTCTTGTCTAAGGCTGCTCCCTGTCTCCTCGCGTCTCTCCAGCTCCGCGCGAAGAGCGCAGAACTAATGGGCAGTGGACAAACCTCCCTTTAATAGACCTCCCCTTAGTGAAAACGGCCTGGGACCGAAACCGACGGACCTGGACCCGCCAAAATGACGGCCGCGACGCCCTCTCACGAACCGAAAACGGCCAATTCTTTAATCGACGTGTCAGGGTAGGAGGTCTGTCCACCCCCGAACTCAAAACGACCCCAAAACGCCTTAACACAGATCTAGCACTGGCACGGAGCAGGCCCGGAGGCCCCGCGACCAAGAAGCAGCGACGACCAGAGAAGAGCAACATTAGCATAACACCAAAATGTTTGGCGGCCTGGACGCAAGGTGGAGGATTGGCGGCGCGCACAAGGGGGTGGAGGGAGGGGGGAGGACTTCTTAGAAGGAGGCTGCTTCTTAAAGGCGCCGGCCTTACATATATAGATAAGCCCGCGCCTTTTAAGAAGCAGGGGTGCTTCTAAGAAGCCCTCCACCCTCCCCCACCCCCCTCTGCGCGTGGCTGAGAGAAAGTGAGGACGTGGTAGACGGCGGTGTGGACCAGCGCGCGCAGTCACCTTAACTGAACGCGCTAAAAGATGAGCTCGAAACGCAAACACATCATTGCTCTTGTGACGTTGATTCTCTTTGTGGGAGATTAGAAACTGCTTTCATAAAAAGACCTAGGCATGTCTAAGAAGAACATGCTCTTTGCCTGCCAAGGGCCATTTTCGGACCCCGGGGGCCATCGGGAATGGACCCAGGACTGACAAGTGCACCAGGGAAAAGGGCGGGACAAGTCTATCTGTAGTCCTATAGTCTATGGGCGATTCCGGAAACCCTGACCCCAAAAACGTTTTCATCTCTTGGGGACGCATTTCTACTTCTGCCGCCCTTCCGCTGGCTTCCGCCCGCGAAGGCGGCCTCGTCTTACTTCCGCCGACATTCCGCCGCCCTTCCGCCGCCTTCCGCCGAGGAAGAGATGACAACTCCACGTCGTTCATTTCTAATCGTGCTCATTTCTATGTGTGCTCGTTTCTAATTGCTCCTTGTTCCCTAGTGGGCAAGAAGAGGCCCAAGATAGAACAATTAGAAATGAAAGGACCTTGGCCCCCCAACATGATCGACCCGCGAACCCGGAAAGGAATATAGAAATGTAAGGCATGGCAACGTTTCAAAGACACCTGATTGGGCGACGGACAAATGCAATGCTGAGTGTATCGATCTTGATGTACCGTGCCGAAGGCTGTGCTGTGCTGCGCCGTGCTGAGCTGCGATGTGCCATGCCGCGACTGTGCTCTGTAGCGTTGTGGATCGAGTCCTCATTTGCATCCGAGTCCTGATCAAACTGGTCTGGATCTTAAGCTCCAGCTGCCTGAGCACATAGTAGCTGCCCCAGAGCTAATTGACAGACGAACATGCCAGGAGGACGCGCCGCGGAACGTCCCAAGGGACGCGCCAGGCGACGTGCCAAGGGTCGTGCCATGGGGACGCACCGCGGGACGCGCCAAGGGGACGCGCTACGGAACGTGCCAATGGACGTGCCACGGGACGTGCCAGGGGACGCGCCGTGCGACGTGCCAGGGGGACTCGCCACGGGACGCGCCACGGAACGTGCCAAAGAACGTGCCAAAGTGCAATGCTGAATGTATCGATCTCGACGTGCCGTGCCGAGGGCTATGCTGTCCTGCGCTGTGCTGAACTGCGAGTTGCCATGCCGCGATTGTGCTCTATAATGTTGTGGATCGAATATTCCTTTGCATCCGAGTCCTGACCGAACTGGTCTGCATCTTAAACTCGAGCTGCCTGAACACATAGTAGCTGCCCCAGAGCTAATTGACAGACGAACATGCCAGGAGGACGCGCCGCGGAACGTCCCAAGGGACGCGCCAGGCGACGTGCCAGGCGACGTGCCAAAGGGGACGCGCTACGGAACGTGCCAATGAACGTGCCACCTCGTGCTAGACATCCGCCAGGGCGAACTCGACACCTGAAGACAAGTGGTTCGCTCGAGACATCCTCAACACATGTTCATGTTAAACGTCCGTTCCAGGTCATGTAAGACACCCCCTGTTAGACACACCTCCTAGATGGCCTGGACACGTTAAAACACCTGGTTCCGCCATGTCAAACACCCCCCTGGGTGGCCTGGACACATTAAAACACGTGGCCCTTACTCGTGACAATCATGTTAGATACCCCCTGGGTGGCCTGGACGCGTAAAAACGTGTGTTTCAAGCCAGGGCTCGTGAAAACACGTGGTTCCAGCTCGGGGCAACCATGTTAGGTACCCCCTGGGTGGCCTGAACACGTACAACAACATTGTGCCAGCTCGGGGCAACCATGTTAGATACCCGCCTTTTCTGGGTGGCCTGGAAATGTGAAAACACGTGGTTCCAGCTCGGGAACCCCATGTTGGATACCACCCATGCGTGGCCTGGAGACGTGAAAGCACGTAGTCCCAGCTCGGGACCACCAGGCTAAATACCCATATGGGCGGCCTGTAAACGTTAAAACACGTGGTTCCAGCTCGGGACCACCATGTTCGATACCCACATGTGTGGCCTGGACACGTGAAAACACGTAGTTCCAGCTCGGGACCACCATGTTAAATACCACCCGTGCGTGGCCTGGAGACGTGAAAACACGTTGGTCCAGCTCGGGACCACCATGTTAGATACCCCCCTGGGTGGCTTGTACACGTGAAAGCACGAGGTTCCAGCGCGGGACCACATGCTACATACCCACTTGGGTGGCCTAGACACGCGAAAACACGTGGTTCCGGCGCGGGACCACCCTGTTAAATATCCACATCGGTGGCCTGGACACGTGGAAACACGCGGTTCCAGTTCATGTTGGATACCCCCCCTGTGTGGCCTGGACACGTAAAAACACGTGCTTCCAGCTCGGGACCACCGTGTTAGATACCCCCCCCTGTGTGGCCTGGACACGTGAAAACAGATAGCTCCAGCTCGGGACCACCATGTTAGACACCTCCTGGGTGGCCATTTCTCTAAATTGGTCGGGTCTTCAGACTTTGTTTTACCTCGTGAGCTCCGCAAGCGTTTTGAGCCAAACCGAAGCCAGACGCCCGAGATCGGGCACCGTGGCCCCTTGGTCTGGGCTGGCTAAATCATCCCAAGACGGGGGGCAAGTCGCACATCCAACGGGCCTCTGAACAGGTGCAAGCGGAGGACGACGGAATACAGAGACCATGTCAGAATGAACAGTCCCACGTAGGGTCAACAGGGCAACAGGTTGGCGCTTGGGGATAAGGGGAGTCTCCCATACCTGGCACGACGCTGCTCCTGTTAAAACTGGATGGACAACGAAGTACTCGATCAACGGTTGGGCAACTGCCGGTTCGCACGTAACTGCGAGACTCTGGCGCCACAGTGACACCATTCAATAGCGATAGGAATCCTGTGGACTGCAGTTCGCTAGGTGACATATTCCAAGCAGCCCAGATAGTGAAGGGCGTGGCAATGGTCCTCATACAGCAGCTACATGCACGAGGAGCTGGGAGTTCCTACCTTCAGCCATATCACCTCTGTGTAGTTAAATAGTTGCCCATGGGACCCCATCACCAATAACACCATGCAAAAACCGGATGATAAATCGCTCAGGAAGGGGCATAGCCACTGAGGTATCAAAGACCATATCCGAGAACGATACTAGCCAAACGCCCGAACTCAGACCACCGTTCGCCGTGAAGTTCGAGGGGTGCAAGTGGGCATGGTAACCGTGCTTGTGGGCACGGTTGACTGCATATTCAACGGATTCAACAGAATTCAACAGAGCGGCAGAGTTCCTGAAGAGCGGCCGCATCGAGCTCACCTCCAAAGTCCTCCAAGAACGGCTCAGCAGTTGCCCAGGGGGTGAGGTTGACTGTAACTTAGATCCACTCATGGCGATGCTTCTTGGACTTGCTAGGAGGGGTCGCATCATCACTACAGCTGCTGCCGTAGTGGGGAGGAAGAAAACGCCGCACCATTCGAAGCAAATGTTCCAAGTCCCTTCTCCTGAACAAGCACTGGCATCTGTAGCGGGGCCCATCGGGATGGACCCCGCGTCGTCGGCGTCGGCGGCATTGCCGGCGTCAGCCATATTTGTTCAAATCAGTTCGACTGTATCAGAGACACCAGGGTGTGGCATGGCTGGGCTCTTCGGCGGCGGCGGCAGAGAGGAGGTTCTCCCTGGACCAACTCCCATCTTAGACTGTCCACCTGCGGCGTCAACTGCCATGGGCTGTGTGCGAACTGGCTCGGCTGATTTGGGCCTCGAAGTACACGTTTCTGGGAGACTCCGCCGTCTGAACCCGAAGAGAATGCAATTTTGCCTGCAAGCCTGCAATACGTGCGAGCATGTGCTTAGTCTGCGGGAGGGTCCTACAAACATCCAACTGACTTTGTAAAGTCGGTATAATCTTATTAACATCCGCAACCGTAAGCTCACTGCCATTAGCATCAAAACCAAAGCTGCGGTCATCATCGTAGTCATCGTCGACATCATCACGATCGTCAGCCCAAAAAACACGATTGCCACTGTCAGCGCCAAGACCATCATCACCAGAGTCATCTCCAAACCGATCCTGAACATCTTCATCCAAGAGTGTCTCGAGACGCTCTTCCAGCCAGTGCACGGAGGCGCGGAGTGGATGGGTTGGATGAGTCGGGGGGCGGGGCAGGCGAAGGCGGCATGGGTCTGGTCGCTCTTTCTGCTGTTTTCCCTCCTGACGTTTGGGCGGGACGAGATCTTCCTCCTTTCTTGCCTCCTGGAGCCTGTCCTTTGGTGGAGCGGTCAGGAAACAAAGATTGGCAAAACTTGCAATGGCGTCGCGGGGCTGGTGTCGGGTAGCCAAGAGACTTCCCCAGCATCACGACAGGCTGAGCACACAAGATACCCCATCACAGTCCGACGCGCGCGCGGAGGAGGCGGTCGCCTCTCGACACATGGGCGGGCCCCCGAGCCTGCCCCTCGGCAGAGACGAAGCTCCAGACCTCGGGGCAAGGTCTGGAACTTGAGCCAGCACGGCTGCGGGAGGAGACAGGGAGGCAGCACGGGTGGGAATGGGGCGGGGAAGGGGGCGGGGAGACGGGGGGAGAGCGTCGGCCGGCGGGCGGGAGGGGCACGCCCTGGAGGAGCCGGGGCCCTCCCTCAGGGCTCGGCTTCTCTCCGTCCGAGCGCGTGCCTGCTCTGCCGGGGAAGGCTCTGGCAGGCCGACGAGGAAACGCAAGGCAGGGCCCCTTCGCCCCCACGGCGCTCCCCAGGGGCTGCGCCGTGCGTTCGGACGCCCGAAAGGGGCACGGAAAAAATGGGCACAATGCCCAACAGCAAATGCTGTCCCAAACAAACAGCGGCCGCTGTTGGGCAGGCGGCCTCCTGTCTCAAACGGCGACAGGCCGCGGCGGCGCGGGCAGCGAGTCCTGTTCAATGACCAGGAGCTGCTGTTGGGCATTGTGCCCATTCTTTCCGTACCCATTTCGCTCGTGCAGAGTGCGTGGACGGACTCAGCGCCGCCCAGAGGAGCACCCGGCAGAGCGCACAACCTGGGGTCCACGAGGGGGGTGCCGCAGAACTCTCGCGGCGCTCGCCCGCGAGGGTCCGTGCGGACGGCAGCACTTCCCTGCCACCCTGACTAGGGTTAGGTCGGGCGTGCCCCCCGACAGGCCGATTTTGGACGAAAAATGAAAATACCTCCCAAATACTCAGACATACTCAAAAGTGGAAAAACTCGTCCCCCGACTATGTTTGTACTATTTTTGAATATTCCTCCTGTAGAGGGAGGTGCCCGACTGAAGTCTAGGGGAACGAACAATGACATAAACATAATGACTCGGAGGTCTGCGCTGATCTCTTGGATCCGCGCTGGAGCCCCCTCCCTGGCGCGCGGAGCGCGCCAGGGGCGGCGACGGAGGCGCCGCCGGGGGGGTCCAGCGCCGATCCGAGAAATCCGCGCGGGCCTCCGAGTTTTTGTATTTACGCCATTGTCCGTTCTCCTACAGTCGGGGCGTTGACCAAAGGAACCCTAAATAAGGAACGAGGCCCCTCCTTTCCATTAAATTACACTTCGATTCCCCATCGAAAACCTTGGGAAAACCTGAGGCAAACTGTGAAACAATCAAGGAACACGGAATCCCTCCCCAACGAAAAGGGTTCCTTCTTCAAGACCCCTAATTACCGTACGATTCTCCAGCGCGCTGCCCATGAGTACGCTCACGACCCGGGCAGCCCCTTCGGAGGCGCTGATGCAGGAAGAGGTCGGCGCGGGCACGCGCTGGCGAGCGGGGGGGGGAAGCGCGAAGGAGAAAGCCTTCCCAGAAAACTGCGGGACTTCTCGGGGCTTCCCAGAGGCCCTCGCGCCTTCGGAGAACTCTTCCGTGTCTTCGGGGAAGGCTCAAAGACTTGTCAGAAGGCGTGGGGACTTCCGAGCCTTCCGAGAAGGCACGCCCCTTCGCACTTCCCCCCGGGCCCGCCGCCGAAACACACCTCGTCGGCTTCCTCCTCGGCGAGCGGCTGCGCGCGCAGAGGAGGAGGAGGAGGAGGAGGAGGAGGAGGAGGAGGAGGAGGCGGAGGAGGAGGGGGAGGAGGGAGGCGGAGGGAGAGGAGGAGGAGGAGGAGGAGGAGGTATGAGGAGTCGTGAGGCGGGAGGAGGCGGAGGCGGAGGAGGAGGAGGAGGAGGAGGAGGCGGAGGAGAGGAAAGAGGAGGCGGAGGAGGAGGAGGAGGAGGAGGAGGAGGAGGAGGAGGAGAGGAGGAGGCGGAGGAGGAGGGGGAGGAGGAGGAGAGGAGGAGGAGGAGGAGGGGAGGAGGAGGAGGAGGGAGGAGGAGGAGGAGGAGGAGGAGGAGGAGGGGAGAGGAGGAGGCGGAGGCGGAGGCGGAGGCGGAGGCGGAGGCGGAGGAAGAGGAGGAGGAGGAGGAGGAGGAGGAGGAGGAGGAGGAGGAGGAGGAGGATGAGGAGGAGGAGGAGGACGAGTAGGAGGAGGAGGAGGAGGAGGAGGAGGAGGAGGAGGAGGAGGAGGAGGAGGAGGAGGAGGAGGAGGAGGAGGAGGAGGAGGAGGAGGAGAAGGAGGAGGCGCGTGGACACCGTGCCCGGGCACCGGGGCCGATGCCGCCCAGTTCCGGCGACGGAGCGCGCGCCGCTGCTGCACGGGCAGCGGGGCCCGCCGCCGAGCCACGCGCCCCCCTCGTCCGTGCTGGCGCTTCCCCGAGTGGTGGACCCGAGCCGAGCATCGTTTAACCCCGACCCCCTCGGGTCGTGGAAAAATCACGACGGGAGGTTTTTCTCCATTTTCGGCCCCTGGGGGCCCTTGCCGGGCCTCGGGACCGTCAAAAAACGACTCGGGACGAAACACTGGTCCCGGGGAATAGGTCGAAACCTCTGGGGGTCGACGTCATTCAAAAATCATGACGTCGGGGGTCTGGGAACCGATCCCCATCCCCAGCGGCGTGGCCTGGGCCACACTGGCCGACTTACAGATGGGGATGTAGGTCGTGCCCTTCGGGTGGTGCATCCCCAACCGGGTGGGCAATTTGTTGGGGGCCTCGAATGGGATGGGGATGGGGATGGGGGCCGGATGAACGATACCGAGGAGCGGGGAGGAGGACGAGGCGGCGCCCCCCCGCTCGGTGACGCGGCAACCTGGGCCAGCGCCAACCGGGCCGGCCAGGGCCAAGTCGGGGGGCCGGGGCCGGCCAAAACGCCACCAGGGTCAGCGGAGGGGCGGGGTGGCTGGATGGCTCCCTCCCTCCGACGCAGGAAGGCCCCCCCGGGTGGCGAAGGAAGGGCACGATCCAGCGACGATCGTCGACCCTGCTCTGCAGATCGCCTGGCGACCCCTGGGACTGAAACCGGCCCGTTTGGCGCACAGCTCGCAGCTTCTGTCGGGGGGCGCTCGGGGGTCCATCCAGCGAGTTCGCTTCTCCACTCTTGGGCGGAACCTCCCAACGACGACATGTATCACAGGCCTCTGCAGCAGCAGGAGCAGCGGGAATGGGCGGGAGGAAGTGGGCACGGCTCCAGACACTGCTCCCCCAAACCAGGGTCGATCGGCCAGATGGGACCGGCTGACTCCCGCTAGCGCTGACCCCCGCTACCTTTGAGCAGGGGCCGACCGTCCTGGCATTCATAGGCCTACCAAGACGTGTTCTTAAATCAGGAGTATGTTCTAATAACAGAAACCGTTAGAACACGAAGCCTAACCATGTTCTTTGATGGCCCTATAGGCATCCAGGACGCCTCGCGACTGCTTTATACCTGCGCCCCACAACGCCTCGAACCGCAGGCGGCTGGCCGCTGCCGCGGAGCCCTTGAGGTTCAGCTCGGCGTTCGCCTCGGCGCCCCGGCATACCTTCCGGCGCGGCGAGCGCGAGCGGCCGCGCGCGCGCGCGACTGCGCCCTGGCTCCGTGGGCGGCCGCGCTTCGCCGGGCTACGGTCGGGATTTTTCGGATGGCGCGTCGCCGCGATAGCGTGTCGCCCCGCTCCGCGGGGCGGGAGCCGCGCAAAGGCTCGGGACGGAAAGGCGGATGGCGTGTCGCGCCCCGAGCGTGGTGGGCCCAGAGCCAGCGGAGCGACACGCTAAGCCAAAGCTCCCGACCGCACTTCGAGGTGCCGGCGCCGTGGCGCCAGGTCGCCCCGTGCGGCCTCTGTGCGTGGCCTTCCGAGTCCTCTGTGCGAGGAGCGCCACGACCGTGCCCGCAAGCGCGCCGCCTGGCGCACCGGAGTGGCGAGGCGGCCTGCTCGGGGGGCACCTTCGGCCTCCAGCTCGGAGCGGCTACCGTGGACCTCTCCGACAGAGCTGGGCCGCTGGCGGTGGTGTTGTCGCCCCCTCGTTAATCTACCTCCGCACAAAAAAAAAAGAATACGAAAACAAACACCAACACAAAAACAAAAAAAGAAACACAAATAAACGACGAAGGAATGACCAAGACGACGACGAAGACGCTAGAAGCTCCATCCGCATACTCCTACCTTCCTCATCTCCGTTACTCACTCATTCGTTCAGTCCTTTCAGCCATCCTAGCCCACATCCTGCAACATCACGAAGCCGATAGACTATTCTCCTCCTCCACTCCTCCGTCCTACGTCCCACAACGCGTCATCTCAGACACATCCTACTCATCGTCCCTCAGCCCATCCCATCGCCCCCCTCTCCGTCCTCCCTCTCTACATCCCCTTCCCCCTCCCCATCCTCCGCCTCCGCCTCCGCCCCGTACTCCGCCTCCGCTCCTCATCCTCCTCCTCCTGCTCCTCATCGCCCTCAGCTCTTCCTCTTCCGCCTCCTCCTCCATTTCAGTCCTCTCTCCTCATACTCTCACTCCTCCTCCTCCTCGTACCACTACGCAAAGCAATACAGCACTCTCCTCATCCATACTCTCCTCCTCCTCCTCTAAGACTACATACTGCTCCTACTCATCACTACTCATCCTGCTCACAATTTCCTCCTCCTCCTAATCCGAAATATTCACACTCCCCTCCTCCTCCCCCTCCACCACGACTCCGCCTCCGCCTCCTCCTCCTCCTTCCTCCTCCTCCTCCTCCTCCTCCTCCCTCCTCCTCCTCCCTCCCACCCTCCTCCGCCCCACTCCTCCTCCTTCCCCTCCTCCTCCTCCCTCTCCTCCTTCGCCTCCTCCTCCTCTTCCTCCCTTTCCTCCTCCGGGGTGCAACGCGGATGCAGGCGACCAGCTCTCGACCTACACCTTCCGCACCGTCCGCTCAGCACGTGCCGCGCCCCGAGCTGCTGCCGCGGCCGCAGCGGCGGCGGCCGCCGAGGCCATAGCGATGGCCTCGGCGGCTGCTGCGGCCGCGCCGCAGCGGCTCTCCTCGCGCGGAGGGAGCGGAAGGTGCAGGTCGCGGGTGTTGCAGTCGTGGTGCTGCCACCAGGAGAGCCGAGTCGGGCACGAAAGGGCTGGACACGGCGAGCCTCCGACCCAAAGGTAAGGAGAACGACCCGGAAACCGGAGCCCCTCCTGAGACGAAAGGGGCCAGTCTTCTGCCTGTGTTTGACGAGGCTTGTGGCCCCGGCCGACCTCCGCCGACGGGACCGCTTTCCACCCTGCGGCCACAGCGGGCTCCGCCGCTGCCCCGATCGGGCCGCGCTCTTCTCGCCCCGGATCTCTCCTTGCGTGGTGCTGGCCCCGGGGTCGTCTCAGCCAGGAGGGGCCTCCTCCTCCTCCTCCTCCTCCTCCTCCTCCTCCTCCTCCTCCTCCTCCCTCCTCCTCTCCGAGGCCGGCGGCGAGGCAAAAAAAACGCTCCCGCGCGTGGGGAAACCAAATTGGTACCGATGCCGCTGCTCCCGGGGCCTCTCCCCACCGGGGGGCGCTCCGGCCAGAATTTCGAGGCGAATCCAGCGGCGGCGGCGAGGGCCTCCCAGGAGGCCCCCAAGCAAGGGAAAACGGGCGCGGGGTAGAGGTGTAATGGATGCCTTTTCTGAAGGGGCCCTGGGACACACAAGTGAATACACACAAATAACATGAAGACCCATATTCTCCTATATCTCCTGGGTTTTTGTCTTCCCCCCCACTTCCCGTATATTCCCATATTTGCTGGAAAATCGACGATTCATTGTGTCTGTGTTTTTGTCCCCTCCTGGGCCTTTTCCTCCTCTGAGCATGGAGCCGTGTCGTGTCGCCAGAGGCCTGGGGAGCTTGGCCGGGGGAGGCGGCCCCGGGGTCCTGCAGGGACCGACCGCCCCGGCACTCTTATAGGCCTACCGTTAAGTCGGGCCTGTTCCCCTACAGGGGGATTTTCGATGAAAAATAAAAGATCCTAAACAAATATTCCCAAATGGACAAAAAATACTCAAGAAATAATCCCTGGCTTATTTTTATGACTATTTTTCAATATTCCCCCTGTAGAGGGACACGCCCGACTTAATCTTAGAACCCCCAGATGTATTCCAAGAGCAAGAACAGGGCTCTTGGAACACAAAACCGACGTGAGAAAACAAGGCAGTCCCAGCCAGAAGCGGTCTGAGAACATCTCGTGGAAGCCACAACAGTGTTGTCTTAGAGCACAGTCTGGCGTAGGCTATATATTCCTCTTCCTATATTTTTATAAGCCCGGGCGGGGGGAAAACCCATCACCCCCCCCCCGAACCGGACTCCCGGGACCTGGGGCTTCGGGACCCTCCGGACGGGCCTCGAAGCGGCCCCCCTGGCCTCAAAGGGAGTTTTGCCAAGCCTTCCCAGCACACAGGGCGATCAGGGGGGTCATCGGAGACGTCTCAGAGACCCCCATGACAGCGCAAGAACGCTCCAAGAGTGACCGACGTGACCTCAAGATGGCCCAAGAGGCCTCCAGGACGGCCCCAAAGAGGCCTCCAAGAGCACTCCCTAGAGGCAAAAATCATGGATATTCTGTTAGTTTTTGGTGAATTTTGGGGTTATCCTCTTTTCGGCTTCCCGACGCTCCAAGACGGCGGTCTTCTGGGCGTCCGAAGCCGCCTGGGAGGCTCCAAAATCGCTCCACAACCATCCGAAAGGGCACAACACACGGGTCCAAGATGGCCCTCAGAGAGCACCATGGCGGCCCAAGATGGCCCCAAGACCCTCCGAAGCATTCCAAATCGTGACCCGGTCGTTCAGGGAGACCGTGGGTGGAGGCAGGGTGGCCCGAGGAAGTCCCCAGAGGCCCCCAGAATACGCCCAGGAGGCCTCCAGAAGGCCTTAAGACAGCCTAACACTATGTTTTTTAGGCCCCCAGAGGCTCTCCCAGGAGGAGCCTCCGCAAAGAAAAAGCTGACGAGGGTAGGGAGAAAGGGCAGGGTACGGCGAACATGAGGAAAAAGAAGCATGGAGATAACGAAAAACATTATCATAGCGGCGATGCCGGAAAAGGCAACAAGGAGTTATCGCTAAATTGTCGGCTTGACCTCCTGCTATTCCGCCTGCATGCCAAACTTCAAGGACCAAGGTGCATGGTGCGAAGCGCCACTGCAGTCTTGTATATATATATATATAAACATATATATATATATATACACACCCCTTCCTTCCTATATTTGTATAAGCCGGGGCGGGGGGAAAACCCGTCCCCCCCCCCGTAAAACCGGACCCCCAGGATCTGGACGTTGGGACCCTCCGGACGGGCCTCGAAGCGGCCCCTGGGCCTCGCAGGGCGTTTTGCCAAGCCTTCGCAGCACACCCAGGGCGATCAGGGGGGTCACCAGAGACGTCCCAAAGAACCCCAAGACAGCACAAGAGCGCTCCAAGAAGCCGTCATACCCCGAAAGATCGCTCCAAGAGGCCTCCAAGAGCACCTCCAAAAGGCCCCAAGAGGGACAAATCATTGATTATATAGGTTTTTGGTGCACTTGGGGTTCTCCTCTTTTCGGCTTCCCGACGCTCCAAGACGGCGGTCTCCTGGGAGGCTCCAAAATCGCCCCATAACCATCCGAAAAGGCTTCCAGGCAGTCCAAGAGAGCCCCAAAACGGCACAACAAGAGTTCAAAATGGCCCTCAGAGAGCACCATGGCGGCCCAAGATGGCCCCAAGACACCCTCCGAAGCATTCCAAATCGTGACTGGGGCGTTCAGGGAGACCGCGATTAGAGGCAGGTTGGCCTTAGGAAGCCCCAGAGGCCCCCAGAACACACCCAGGAGGCCTCCAAAAGGCTTTTAAAAAGCCTGAGAACTTTGGTGAGGCCCCCAGAGGCTCTCCAAGGAGGAGCCTCCGCAAAAAGAGCTAAGGAGGATGGGAAGAATGCCCACGGTATGGCGAGAATAAAGGAAAATAAGCATGGAGGAAGGATCATGAACAACATTATTACAACGGCGATGCCAGAAAAAGGCAGCAAGGAGTTATCGCTAAATTGTCAGCTTTACCTCCCTGCCATTTCCGCCTGCATACCAAACTTCAAGGACCAAGGTGCATGGCGCGAAGCGCCACTGTAGTCTTGTATATATATATATGTATATATATAGCACGCCAGGACGCCTCTCCTCTGCTTGGAGGCCCGGGGAGCTCGGCCGGCGGAGGCGGCGGCGCGCCGGCCTGCGGGTTCCCGTCCGTGGCGAGCACGGCCGCGCCCTCCAGGGCCAGGGCGATGGCCACGAGGCCTGGCCGGCCGGCGGCGGCGGAGCGCGGTCGCCCCCCCCCCCTCCCAGATCCGATAGGGGGCCACATGCGAACCCTACCCCTACCCCCCACGATTTCTGAGGGGGAGGGTGGGGTTCACTTCGCTCGGGAGCTCCCGAACGAAGTGAACCCCACCCTCCCCTTCAGAAATCGTAGGGGGTAGGGGTAGGGTTCGCATGTGGCCCCCTATCCGAGGACATGACTTTCTCAAGCCGGCGGTTTTTCAAATACATTTTGTTTCTCTCAGGATATCAAGGCTAGAAGCACGGTGGCTGCGACGCACGTCGCGCGAGGCGGCTCACGGGCCCCAAATGGGCTACGGATCCTGAGAAACAAATGTGTATTTCAGGGAGATGGCCACGAGGCCTGGCCGGCTGGCGGCGGCGCGCGGTCCCCCCCAAAGATCTGAAGACATGAATTAATCGTCATCGGGCCCGGGGACCATCACAAGGTGATCCGGGACGCAAGACCACCCCCAGGGAAGGGCTCGGGGCCTCTGGGGCCGCGGATTGGAAAACATCAGGTCGGCGGATGTCTGGGCCCGCGCGCAAGTTAGAAGCTTTCGGTACGAGGCATGCGGGCGTTGGGTTGAGGTGTGTGTGTGTGTGTGCCAGACCGATGCCCGATGGCCCGGCCGCGGCCCCGCGCTGAGTACCTCCACTGACTCCGCCTCGTCGCTGCGCGCGAGGCCGCTTCCGCCCAACAGCTTGTGTGTGTAGGGAGGAATGCACTGAGGGCTATCCTGGGGACGTCCAAATCCCGCGCTGTCTCTGCGCCCCATGGTGTCCACCTCCTTCCTGAACTTAACCTCCCTCCCACCTCAGAAGAAGAAACAACGCCACAAGCATAAACGTTTGGCACTCCGCGCGGATTCTTGGATCCGCGCCGGACACCCCTCCCTGGCGCACGGAGCGCGCAAGGGGCGGCGCCGGAGGCGCCGCCAGGGGGGCCCCAGCGCGGATCCAAGAATTCCGCGCGGAGCGCACAACATGTATGTTTATGGCGGTTTCCCTTCGTCGCCACCTGCTCCCTGCTGGTCCTCCTCCCGTCCTCGTCACCGCAAAAAGCTCCCCAGACCGACGCCTGCACTCAGAGGGTCCCGCTTGGTAGTTGTGACGTGGCTGGGTGGGTCCCCCGTATTTTCACATGCTCTTACGTGGCTTGCCCGCCCGCCGTGGGCGCCCGGTGGGCTCCCCCTGCCGTGCTGTGGATTCTTCGCCTTTTGCGGGGCGCCGGTGGGAGCCTCGCGGGCGCCAAAAGAAACCCGCGCGGAGCTCCAAAAGCAGATGTCTGTGGCGTTTTTTCTTCCTCGAAGCGTCTCGAAGCGTCTCGAGAAACTCGAGACGCAGGGTTTGTCTGGGCTCTCGGCCTCTGGGGGGCCTCGGCGGGCCCCGGAGCCGGCAGAAACGACTCGGGACGGCGAGCCGGCCCCGGGGGGAGTGTCCAGGCCTGCGGGGGAAAGCCGTGTTGAGAAGCTCCGCGGCGTCGGATGTCTGGGCATGGTGTGCCTGGCTGCACCTCGCACATTCCACTGCCGAAGAAGAATCGGACCTTACCACTAGCCAGGAGCTCCGCACACTCTTTCCTCCCGTGTACGGATACTCGAATAGCACCATACAAGCCGGGCCAGTATCGACCCCCCCCCCGCCCGCCATTTCTTGCAAAAAACCATGCGGTGCACACGCGTTGGTCCCAGACGAATTTGTAGGCACAACCTCATCAAAGTATACAATGAGTGTCACATGCGTGCGCCCCTATGCGCGCATGCAAATCCCCCTCAAACGGCCCTGGGTGTGTGTGTGTGTAGTACATTCGTTTGCAGGCATCGCTATGCCTTAGCTATGTTTTAAGCAGGCGTGCGCTACCTTCTAGTTTTGCCTAAAAACGTAACGCTGCGCGCGCACTCGCTGACATCATAAGACAGCCATTGGCTTGTTTCTGTCATTCTTTCGACTGAAACCTTGCGGGCCACACCTGCGCGCGGATCAAACACATTCGACACCTATCGCGCGGCCGACATCTCTGTCCAACGATACAATGTGGGCCAGACGAATGCATCTCCGCGTGTACACGTCAAAATCATTCGGAAACGGTGTCTTATCAAAGTGTGCCAACCCATTAGTGCTTAAACTCATACGAAAACGTAATAATCATTAAATACACGATTTGTTCAACTGCCCAGCGCAATATCATACAAAAGCACAATGGTTCAACATCACACGAAAACAAACAGGTTATCGAAGACGCGTCAACAAGATATGCCCAGAACTGCCAACTTCTGCGCACGCAGCTCCTCATCATCCTCAGCAAGCCCATCGTGATCCTAATCGTCGGCGTCATCATCACCGGCGTCGCCATCGTCAACAACGCCGCCCTCGTCTCGGCGGCGAGCGAGGTAAATAAAAAGGAGAAGGCCCTCTCAGAACGCGGCGGGACTTCTCAGAAGTTCTCGCGCCTTCTCAGAAGCCGCCTGTGTCCTCGAGGACGGCCCAGGAAACATCTCAGGAGGCCGGGGGACTTCCAAGCCTTAGGAGGCGGAGGAGGAGGAGGAGGAGGAGGAGGAGGAGGAGGAGGCGGAGGAGGAGGAGGAGGAGGAGAAGGGCCTTCTCCTCCTCACTTGCCCCCCCCGGCTCGCCGCCGATCATCATCATCGTCCCCGCCACCCCTGGGGAAATCAGAGGGTAACGATACCGCTGCTCCCCGGGCCTCTCCTGGAGTACGTTCTAACCCTGGCCATCGCTCGGACGTCCACTTCCTGTGTTTGTGTTCGGTTTCGTGCCTGGTTTTTCGCGAAATGATCAAGGATGCTCCTCGATGGTCCTCGCCGAAGGAAAAATGCACACGTCCGAGCGATGCCAAGCCCTGGGGAAATCAGAAGGTAACGATACCGCCGCTCCCCAGACCTCTCCTGGAGTGCGTTCTAACCAGAATTTCGAGGCGAATCCAGCGGTGGCGACGAGGGCCTCCCAGGAGGCCTCCAAAAGGGGAAAGCGGGCGAGGGGTAGAGGTGTATGGGCGAAGGGTAGAGGCACAGGCCTCGGAAAAAACAGCGAACACTCATGCCACATTCATCTGTCAACGCCTCCCCCCCTCCCCCAATGTTCAAAGTTGGCGGTGAGTCTGATGAGTTGCACCTCGACCGCAGTCTCCCCCGCGCGTGCCAACTTTGAGTTTTGGGGGGAGGGGGAGTGTTCAGTAATTGTTTCCCTCTACCGTATGTGTATCTTTTCCTCCTCTGAATCCCCAGAAAACGGGGAAGCGGGGCCTGTGCCGGCACCGAGCTCGAGCACGCGCTTGCCCTCCCAGGAGAAGAAGCCCCTGTGCCTGCCGAACCCCGGGGGGGCCGGGGCAGGCATTAGGTCGGGCATGTCCCCCTACAGGCGGATTTTGGCAGGAAAATGAAACATGGTAAAAAGATACTCCAAATTCTGTCAAAAATAAATCGCCCCCTGACTTCTTTTGGACAAGTTTTGAATTTTCTTCCTGTAGAGGGACACGCCCGACTGAATGCTGAAGCACAGGGAGCGTGCGCCACTGCGACGACGCCGAGGGCAGACACAAGGACGAGGGAGGGCACCCCAGACCCCCTCGCGTTATGACACAATCACGACGGGAGGTCTTTTACCCTTTTCGCGGCCTCTGGGGGCCCTTGCCGGGCCTCGGGGCCGTCACCCAACGACTCGGGATGACAACCAGGTCTGGGTGAAGGGGTCGGGTGGACGTTGCGAAATAATCACGACGTCAGGGGCAGCTTGGGTCTGTGTCGGGGGGGGGGGGGGGGCGCGGAGCGGGGGGGCTCCTGCGCATGACCCATGATCGCTCTTCGTGCTCCTGCTCCTGAGCCTGCTCCTGCTCCTGAGCCTATACTTATCCTCCCCCACCTCGAGCGTAGCCCAATCTTTGTTTCCTCGTCGAGCGTAGCCAAACTTCTCTCCCCCTCCTCCATCTCCTCCCTGGCAACCCTCTCCGGGCGTTGGTCGCCCGCGTCAGCAGCCCAGAGGCTGCAGTGCCCACCGCTCTTCCATATAATGGGTCTCTTGTCCATAAAGAGGCCCCGGGGCACACAAATATGTAGACACAAATCGCAGCAGGATCCCCCGTATTTCCGGACTTTTTCTGGGTTTTCGTCTTCCCTCCCCACCCCACTTCCGCGGCATCACGCCCGCGCCCGGTCTGGCGCCGCGGACCCTTCCGAAGGTCCTGGGCTGCTGGGGCACGGAATGTCGGCGAGTATCCAGGAGAGGCGGCTCCCGAACTCTGCGGGGCATCCCACTGCGTCGGGTTGGCAGCACGGCGCCGCGGAGATTCCTGTTGGTCATCAAGCGCCCGGCTGCTGGTCCTCTTCGTCCCGCTGCCAGTGCTCGCATCGTCCTTCCCCTTGCCCGTGCCATCATTGCCCGACGATTAAATGGTGTCTCTCTCTCTCTCTCTATCTCTCTCTCTCTCTCTCTCAGTGTCTGTGTGTGTGTGTCTGTGTGTGTGTCTGTGTATGTCTGTGTGTTCTTTCCCCTCCTGAGTAAAGGCCCCACGAAGGCCGCGCGGATTCACAGTCGGCAGCGGCGCGGGTGCACCGAGGACTCACACACCTCCGAGGCCGAGCGCTGGCTCCCATTGCGTGCACTGCCTCTGGCTCCGCTCCCTCTCGCCTCTCTCGCACCTCGTGCCTCCATGCTATCCTCCCCTCCCTCGCCTCCTCCCATCTCTGCCCTCGATCCCTGCTTCCCTGCCCTCCTCCTCCTCCTCCTCCTCCTCCTCCTCCTCCTCTCCTTCCTCCTCTCTCTCCCTCCCCCTCCTCTCCTCCTCTCCTCCTCCTCCTCTTCTCCTCCTCCTCCTCCTCCTCCTCCTCCTCCTCCTCCTCCTCCTCCTCCTCCTCCTCCTCCTCCTCCTCCCCCCCTCCTTGTCACGTCCCGGGGGGACGGACAGGTGCCGATCCCGCTGCTCCACGGGCCTCTCCTGGGGTGCGCTCTGGCCAGAATAGATGCAGGCGAGTCCAGCCGTGGCGACGAGGGATCTCCCAAGAGGCCCCCGAAGAGGCGAACTCGTTGGGGATACTATGACGAGGGACACTCTACAAGTCCTACAGGCCTCGGACAAACATTAGCGAACACTCATGCCACATTCATCTGTGAACGCCTCCCCCTTCCCCCAATGCTCAAAGTTGGCGGTGGAACTGATGAGTTGCACCTCGACCGCAGTCTCCCCCCCGCATGCCAACTTTGAGTTTGGGGGGGAGGGGGAGTGTTCAGTAATTGTTTCCCTCTACCGTACCATTGAACTCGTGTTTTAAACATGTGCTTGTACATGCTTTAGGCATGTCTTGAACATTTTTGTTCTGGCATCTGGAAATTATCTGGCAACGTGCTTCCTCTCCGTGGATCGTCGTCCCACCTCCGAGAATCGCGGCCCCCCCCTCTTCTTCATGCCGCCCAGTCGGACGATCGGTCGTCGGTCGCGCGGGCGGGCCCGCTGTTGGGCAGCTGGGTCGGGCGGGCGGCCCCCTGGGTCGGGTTGGGCGCGCGGGCCTCGCCGAATCCGGGCAGTCGGGACGGGTCGGGCGGTTGATCCCGGCGGCGCCATCCCTGGTGAGCGCGAAGTTCGGGGTCGAAGCGAAGTTCGGGATCGAATCGGATCGCCTGCTTCAGGGTGCACGACATCGCCATGCAGGCATCGGGCCGCATCGGGCCGTCAGGCACTCGGGATCGAATCGGGTCGGGCCGGCCGAGATCGACATCAAGGCGGATCGATCGGACCGAAATGGGCGCCGACACATCCTGACGACCGGCCTCGGGAAGCCGCTTCCCGGCCCTGGGGCGGTCAACGGAACTACCCGGGATGAAAGGCTGGCCCTGAGGAAGCGATCGAGGGCCTCCAGGGGATGAGGCGTGAGGGCGGGCTGGGGGTTCGCATGTGGTCGCCTCAGGCTGGATCCCAACATCGCCAGCTACAACTCAAGACGCCCAGGGACACACAAATCAATACACACAGCACCCAGGATGCCCCAACTTAGTCAGTATATTCTCTGGATTTTCGTCTCCCCCCCACTTCCCATCTTTTCCCATGGGAGTCGACGATTCTTTGTGTCTGTGTGTTCTGCCCTCCTGAACACAGCGGCGCCGTGAGCGCGTGCAGGAAGGGGGCAGTGGCGGCTGGCGCTGCTCCTGAGATGTTCGCCGCTGGCATGGCTGAGAACAGGTGTGCCCGAGTAGCAGCTACAAGAAGACGAACATCGGACGAGGATACATCGGGAATATTTAAATGATCTGGCGGTTACGGAGGACGTCTCGGGCGCCGCGGCCTTCTCAGAGCGTTTCAGAACGCTCTGAGAGCGTTCCGGAACGCTCTGGAACGGGTAAAAATATCCTCGTCCTAGCCCCGTCCGACTACCAGGGCAGACTCGGCCAAGGACCAATGGGAATTAGGCCAGAATCCAACCTCCCAGAGGGAGGTGCAACCTAGAGTGGAGTTGGCCCAGCCCTCTTCGTTCAGCTTCCCCCTTCTCTGAAGGCTGGGAAGGGCGTTTGCAGAGGGGGGAAGCATCTCGGGGCCGTAGAAACGGGGACTTTGGCAGACCACGACGTGATATTGGCACAGCCAGGAAAACAGCGGCCATGCGTCGAAGCAGTTTCCACGACTTGTTTTCACACTGTGGATCTGGCAATCTCTTTGATTTCCACGTCCCTGTCTCTGATGCCCTGGCTAACTAGTCCAATCTGGAGCCCTCTGGAGCGATCTCCTGGAGGCCCGCTTCCACGCATCGGGTCGGGCCTGCGCCACGCTCAGGGTGGCCTGTGGCGGCGGCACACTGCCTGTGCCTCACCTGTGGCAGTTTTGCAATGCGTCCGAAGTCCCAGGCCTACGCGATCACTGCGATCAATCTGCCTCTGAAGGCTTCTGGAGGTCATCACTGGCTCCGGGAGGTCCAATGATACCCCACAAGGGCCTCAAGCACGAACGCAGCTCGATGCTCGCACCTCGAGGAGAACATGCGTACCATAATTAGCACACCTGCGGGATCACTGGCGCAACTTGGCCTCCCGACGTGTCCAAGAGGTCCCCCGAGGCCTCCAGAGGCTCCCAAATTGATGCGAACGCCAAGGATGGTAAGTCATCGAACCTCGAACAAACCACACCTGCACGATCACAACGGAAACTGGATGCGGGCCGTTGCGACAGGTTCACGTCAGCGATGACGCGTGGATCGTTCAACATTGAACAATCGCGGCTGTCCAGTAGCGCAGATTGTTGGATATCGGCCGGTTCCAAGTCACTGGCCGCGTTCGAAACTGAACAACTGCGGTGAAGTGGCCACACGGAGCGACTAAATATCCATAGTACCCACGCGCTCGAGCTATAGGACACCGAAGTGCGATCCCATGGATACGTGGATATGCTGCGCGCGGAGCATCCGCGCAAAGCGGCCCTGTATCCACAAGGCCCTGGCCGAAGAACCGTGGAGTCCGGACCGCGGAGCCGTGGATCTGCTTGAGCTCCCGCCCGCGATCGTCGCCGCGTCAGTGCGGCACGACCCTGGCAGAAGGCTGGGCTGTTGGCGGCGCGCGCAGGGGGGTGGCGCGAAGGGGGGAGGGTCTTCTAAAAAGGCGGAGGGGGCGAAATCCGAACCCTACCCTCACCGATCAACAATTCAAGCAACTCGATGGACGGCGGGGGTCACGTGGCGAAATCCGAACCCTACCCCTGCCGCCCATCGATTCAAGAAAATGGGTTCGGATGTCGCCACTCAAAGGCGGAGGGGCTTCTCAGAAGGCCCTCCCTGCCTTCCTCAGAAGCCCTCCGGGCTTCTTGGCAGCCTGGCCCCCCTCTTGCCTGCCTCGTTTGCGCGCCGCCAACACCTGCTAGCGTCTCCAGGCAAAAAACCCACAAGGGGGTCCCCACCTCTGCCATGAAGAGTGGATACCCCTGGACCGCCAGAAAAAAAACAAGACCCCCAAGGTCGGCCAGAAACGTCGAAACGCATCCACGATCTCCGATCCCCCCCCCTTCTCGATACCCGATTCTCAGGACGAAGGGCGGTGTCCCACCCCCAGTCCCGGACAACCGCCGAGAGGAGTGCCTCGACCGGCGGCTCCTCCTCGACTTCGGCCCTCCGGGGCCCTTCCTGGAGGCCTCCCAGATGGGGTCGGAGCAGATGCGGTCGGGGCATCGCGAAGCATCGCCGATACGTCGGCGATGCATCGGCGATGCATCGCCCGCCCATGCACCGGCGATGCATCGCCAGCGTGGGCGATGCATCGGCGACGTCGACGTGAGGCAAATCGGGCTCCAGGGAGGCGGGCACCCGCGGCGGCGGCCCCGCCCGGCCCGGCCCCGCCTGTGCACGAAGTCCGCGGCAGCGACCGCCGGGCCCTCTCGGAGGCCAAGGGCGGGGACCATGGGGGGGCACCTCCGGCAGACGCCCTCGCTCCATGGGGCTCCTGCACGCGGGCGTGCGGCTGCTTCGAGGCCCTCGCTGCGGGTCGGGCCCGCCTGGGGGGCTCTGGGGCGCCTCTTCTGAGGCCCCGACGCCCATCGCGATGGGGGCGCTGGAAGAAAAACGGGTCTCGGTAATACCCCCCCCAGGCGGCCGCTCTTCCCGAGAGGTCCCGGCCACCTGGGCGCGAGCGGGCGTTTCTCTCTGGGGCCTCTCGTGCCCGCGGCCAGAAGCAGCCCGAGGCCCTCACTTTGGCCAGCAGTGCGGGCATCGGACCTTCAAAAAACTAGCGAACACGCATGCCACATCCATCGGTCAACACCTCCCCCTCCCCCCGATGTTCAAGGTTGGCGGTGGGCCTGCGGAGGTGCACTTCGACCGCAGTCTCCCCCGCGCGTGCCAGCTTTGAGTTTGGGGGAGCGGGGAAGCGGCCACGAATTGTTTCCACCTACAGTGTGGAACCAAGGCGAGAGAGAAGGGCCAGTAGCCTTCCACCAACAAGCGCACTGCAGCTCGGCAAGCAAGGAAGTGGTGGGGGCGGCGGGGATCCTCGGTAGTCTGCGAGGCTGCAGAACACACATCCGAAGAGCCCCGCCGCAGGCGCCGAAGGCCGCACCGAGACGCTCCGCAGCGAACCCGCCGCGGGCGCGGGCTTCCTCGTCGACGCAGTGTGTGCGGGTAAGTCGCGGGGCGGGTCCTTCTCCTCCTCCTCCTCCTCCTCCTCCTCCTCCTCCTCCTCCTCCTCCTCCTCCTCCTCCCCTCCTCCTCCTCCTCCTCCTCTACCTCCTCCTCCTCCTCCTCCTCCTCCTCCTCCTCCTCCTCCTCGAGTCTGGGTCGCGGGGCGGGTCGCGGGTGGGTCGCGTTGGGGTCGGAGTCTTGGGTGGGTCGCCGGTCAGGCCGCGGAATTTGTCTGGCCGGCACCAGGAGGAGAGAGAACGCGAGTGCGCCCCGCGGGACCGCACTTCAGCCACGCATCTTTGGACAGTGCAAGACCCGTTAGCCCCCCCCCCCTACCATGATACAACTGTAATGGAGTAAGGTGTATTCATATATCTAAACATATATATACACAGACATAGACGAGTATGTGGAGAGAGAGAGAGAGAGACAAAACAAGTGAAGCAGAAAGAGAGAGAGAGAGACGGAAAAAAGAGCAAGAGAGAGAGAGAGCGGGACACAAAGAGAGAGAGAGAGAGCGGGGGAGAGAGAGAAGGAGAGGCGAGCGACGGAGGAAGAGCAATGGTGCCACAGGCCGGCACGTCGTACGCCGAGCCTCTGTGCCCCCCCGTGCGCGACACGTTCTACACTGCTGGGCGTGCTCCGCCCCCCCTCCTCCTCCTCCTCCTCCTCCCCCTCCTCCTCCTCCTCGTCCTCCTCCGCCTCCTCCTCCTCCTCCTCCTCCTCCTCCGCCTCCGCCTCCTCCTCCTCCTCCTCCTCCTCCTCCTCCTCCTCCTCCGCCTCCTCCTCCTCCTCCTCCTCCTCCTCCTCCTCCTCCCCTCCCCCTCCCCCTCCTCCTCCTCCTCCTGGCGCGAGGGGGGGGGCGTGCCTCGCCCCCGCCCCCCCCCTCCTCGCGGCCCTCGCGGGGCGTGCGGCCCATCCTGCCGCGCCCGACGGGCCCGCCCCCCGCGTGCCCCCCAAGGGGCCCCGCCGGCCCCGGGGAAGCTCCCGGCGGCCGCGGCTCTGCGAGGACCTGAGGAGCAGCCCCCCCCGTCGGCGTCGGCGTCGTCGTCGTCGTCGCCGTCGCCGCCGTCGTCGTCGTCGCCGCCGTCGTCGTCGTCGTCGTCGTCGCCGTCGCCGCCATCGTCGTCGTCGCCGTCGTCGACGTCGGCGTCGTCGTCGACGTCGCTGTCGTCGTCGACGTCGCTGTCGTCGTCGTCGTCGTCGTCGCCGTCGTCGTCGTCGTCGTCGCTGTCGTCGTCGTCAACGTCGTCGTCGTCGCCACCCCGTCCAGTGTGGCTAGAAGTTTTCTTGGCCCAAGGTGCCCCCAGGATCTCCAAGGAGGCCCCCGGGGCCTCCAGAGCACCCCTCACGAGGCCCGGAGGACCTCAGGGGCTCCGACATGGAGGGAAAAGCCGGGGGCACCTTGGGCCAAGGGCACCTTTAGCAACCCCCGCCCCCGGGGCTCGGTCCGATCGAGCCGCGCGCCACCCGCCCTGAGATCCTGTCGCGGCAACTTTGCAACGCTGGGCGATTCTTCGCCTGGCTTCGGTCCCCAGGGCCCTCGCAGCTCGATCGGGCTCGAGAGATGGTGCCGAAAGGATGGGGTCCAGGGATCTGGCCGTGATGCCCCTCGATGTTGCCATTTGTTCGCAATGTCGGACCTCAGGGGGTATACCCTGACGGAACTGAACGCGGAAACCTCGGTGCCGATCTTGGCCATCGTCCATCCCGTCAGCTCGTGCAGGCCATCCTCACGAGAACGGCGACGGACGGCATGGGCCATAATCAAGACCAGCATCGACAAGATCCCACGACATGTTGATAGTGGCACTCGTGTCGCTTCCCTGAAGGATCGCCATCCCCGCTGTAGCGCCTCGTCCAGGAGTGCAGCGCAAAACCTCGTCGGCTGACAAGCCGATTGGCCCTTGCGGGCCCCATGGGCAAGCCGCTCGGCCAGACCAGGGGCCACGTCGAGCCCCGATCGACAACCTGCAGCAAGGGTGCGGGGCGGGAATCTATGTGCAAATATGTGTCCGATACATCAAGTGCATGTATGTATGACTGTATGACTGTATGTATGTGTATGGACGTATGGATGTATGTATGTATGGATGTATGGATGTACGGATGTGTGTGTGTATGTTTGTATGTATGTATGTATGTACGCATGTATGCATGCATGCATGCATTCATGCATGCACGCATGCACGTATGTATGTATGTATGTATGTATGTATGCATGCATGCATGTATGTATGTATGTATGTATGTATGTATGTATGTATGTATGTACGTACGTATGTATGTATGTATGTCTGTATGTATGCATGCATGTAGGTATGTACGGATGGATGTGTGTATGTATGGATGGATGTATGTATGCATGTTTGTATTTATGCATGTAGGTAGGTAGGTTGGTAGGTAGGTAGGTTTGTATGTATGTATATGTATGTGTATGCGTATGTGTGCATGCGTGTATGTGTACGTGCATGTGTATGTGTATGTGTATGTGTACGCATGCATGTATGTATGTATGTAGGTATGTGCGCATGTGTATACAGGTATATATATATATATGTCTGCCTGTCTGTCTGTCTGTATGTCGGTATGTCTGCATGTACGTATGTATGTATGTGTATATGTATGAATGGATGTATGTATGTATCTGTATGCATGCATGTATGTATGTATGTATCTTGCAAGGGAGCACGTTCCTCCGTATGGCGCGCTGACCACACATGTGACCCACGGGCAGGAGCGTCACAAGAACACTGGGTGTGGAACACATCATGGCTCCATTGAATTCTGGACTTTCCGTGCGGTACTTCATGGCCAAAGAATGTGTCCCCCCGTGTGGCGCACTCACCTCACAAGTGCCCGACGGACGGGTTGGTCACCCGAAAAGCAGGGTGAACAACAACAACAGTTTCACTTTCATTCTGGGCTTCAACATGATATGTTACATGCTGCGCCCTACGTTCGCCGCGTGGCGAGCTCACATCATACTTGATCAGATGTGATCCACGGACGGGTGCACGCGACAACTGCGCGCGCGAAACCAACTATTACACTTACATCCTGGGCGTCAACATGGGGTTATACCTTGCCGGCGCGCTCGGCCCACCAACCACCCACGGACAAATGGATCACCCAACAACTGAACGAAAACAAACACGTGTTTCTACTGCATGATGGCCCTCGACATGAAGTTATGCTTTGCTGGTGCACTCACCATACACATGGCCAACGGACGGGCTGGTCAGCCGAAAGCCGGGTGTGAAAAGCCAAACAAATCATGTATTCGAATACCAGAATAGGCCTATACGGCTGAAGACTAACCTGGGGAACGTGTGCAAGGCAACGCCTTCAGTTCCCAAAACATCGGGCTCGAAAAGAATAGCTAAGCCGAACATCGTTCGACTTGCACTGTGGGCAACAGCAGCGCTCACCTCACAGGTGACCCACGGACGGGTGGGTCACCCGAAAGCTGGGTGGGAAAGCAAACGCTTTCACTTGCATTCTGGGCCTCACCATAGGACCCAATACAGCTGAAAGCTAGCCTTGGGAACGTATGGTAAGCAATGTATTCGTTAGCAAAACGAGAACGAAGCGAACCACGAAACAAGCCAAAGCGAAACATGAAACACACTGCACAACAAAACGCCTGACCGCATAAGAACCAGCGAGCGGCCTTATTACGAAATGCCAGCAAACGAAACAGAAATGCAACAATCATGCAACACCCAATAGAAACACCGCAGAACGATTGAAAGAAATAAGCAATTGGAGCACAGCGACGTTGCGGAACGATGTTTTGAACTGCTCGAAAAACGAACTGATAAAATTCATACGCAGCCAAACAAAACGAAGCTTGCGCGCGCAAATCGAGCACATCTCGACTAAACGTTGAAGACAAACAAGAACACGTGGCGACAAGAAAAGGAAGCACACAGTACATATACGAGAAAACAATAACAACACCATCAACACAACGATTGCCAACCAAACGCGCAACAACGTTTGGGCCAACCCATGGAAAGATCGCCACCAAAAACGAGCAGGAGAGGCAAGAACCCCCGCGCGCGCGGCGGCTCTTGGACAGATTACGCGCAAACAAAACAGACAAGGGCTTGAACCGGTGAGCAAAAAAAGAGCGATGCTAGGATCTCAGGAGGCGGATGCAGATGCGGAGGCGGAATACGATGTTGATGCTGATGATGATGACCATGATGATGACGACGATGATGATGATGGTGACGATGGTGATAGTGTGACGATGGTGACGATGACGATGATGATGATGACGATGATGATGATGATGATGATGATGCTGATGATGATGAT